AGAAGTGCGAGACATGAAGCTATTGGAGTCGAAGAGACGGCTACATTTAAAAGTTTCGACAGTGAAAGTGAGATGGCAGCCTAGTTGAACGCTTAAATTCATGAAGTCTGAGAATCACCAAAAGCAGCTCATCGGAGGAGTTACCATGAAAGTATTTGTAAAAAAGACAGAGGGAGGCAACGGCACGTCTGTGAGAGAGAGACTGCAGACAAGATGCCAGATCAGGTCCAGTTACATTGCATATCTGTCTTTAGATTTTATCAAGGTCCTTGAGATAAATAGAAGGGGCTTTAGACCATATATGGCAACAATACTCCAATCAACATTTGTAGATTTGAAAGATTGAGTCCGTCGAGAAAAATCTCCTGGCGCGGCACAGAGAGACGACTTTTCTTGCGGTGGACGAAGCTATTGACTCAATGTATTCGTTCCATCTCAGGTCAGCAGTCAATGTGAAACCGAGCAGTCGCAAAGAGGTGCTCTCGTGGAGTTGAGCGTCAGACCTTTTAAATGGGAGGCAGGGATGGTTCTCTCTGGTGAGTAATAGAGAGCAGTTTTGTTTCTGAGCCATTAAAGTTAACCAGCCAATTCCATTTAAGAATCATCAAGAAACAGTGAATAAGTTTCAAAAACCGAGAACAGTAGAGCGGAAAACTGGATCAGGGGGTCACAACAGGAATAGGGATCATCATTTCATTTCCAATTCATAAGAATTTGGCACATGAGAAGAAGAGTTTTAGCTATGAATGTCCAAAGAGCAGTGAACAAAAGACTCGAAAATGATATCTTACATAAGACGGGTGAGGCAGCTTGTTACTGTAGGACAGAAAGTTAAAAGGTTAGAGAGGGCGAAGATCATCTTGAATAAGTTGGGAAACCATTCTGGAATAATATATATGCATATATGATTGAACTTTATTTCAATCCTTCATGAGTATTAGCGATGATTAATTAATTATGAACATGTCATTTTCGTTTATGATCGACTCATCACGATTCTTCTGTTGAGCTTGGAGAGAAATTATAAATTCTTATTGCTCAAAGTAGAGTCCAATAGTGTTATAGAATTCCTGTAAGATATCTTTAATCATTTCTTAGAACAAAAATTGTTCAAAGCTTAATCTAACAATTGGAAAATGTTGTGTTACACACGGTAAGTACATTATTATTATTATTATTATTATTATTTCATTTCCTTTGATTTCTGATGTGTACTCATTTCTTTCTGGGTCTCGCCCAGGGACCTAAGTTAAGAATGGCATCATGACATTTTCCACTGGAAAAAAAAACATATTTTACATAGACAAAGCCCTTCGTAAGGATGGGGTGTACTCGTGAGAACATTTTTTTGCATTTCTTTAAGGCATGGGCTTCCAGAGATCCCTTCGATGTGTCTACTGGAATCTTTTCCAACCAATCCGAGGGCTCCAACTATAACTGGAATTGTTGGTGTTCTCATGTGCCACATTTTTGAAATTTCGATTTTGATAGCTTTTTGAATATCTTCAAAGATACATTGCAGTCAGCAGGGACTGCCATATCAATAAGGAGGCACCGTTTTTGTTTGTGGTCTTTAATAACAATATCTGGCCGGTTGGCTTTGATTATTTTGTCAGTGTGTATTGTGTAGTCCCATAGAATTGTAACAGGTTCCATGTCCGTAACCGGGCCTGGTTGGTGTTCATATTCCAATAGAAGTTGCAGATTTTCCAGTGCAGATATTGGCCCATTCTGTCATGCCGGGTTTTATAATCAGTGGGTGCCAATATTGTGCAACTTGATACAAGATGATCAATCGTTTCTGGATATTTATCACAGAATCTGCATTTTGGGTTAACACAATATTTTAGTATGTGTGCTTGATAATTCCTAGTTAACAAGCACTGATCTTGTGCAACAAGGATAAATCTTTCCGTTTCTTCTTCTTTTTCTTCTTCTTCTTCTTCTTCTTCTTCTTCTTCTTATTATTATTATTATTATTATTATTATTAATAATAATAATAATAATAATAATCTCCTTTATACGCGTATTTAGTTACTGCAACACCACTTTAGTGTGATGAAATCCAAAGGGACGTAATGCGTCACACAAGGTCTTTTAACCACCTTGTCATATATATATATATATATATATATATATATATATATATATATATATATATATATATAGAGAGAGAGAGAGAGAGAGAGAGGGAGGGAGGGATAGAATGAGAGATTGCTATTGGTAATTTTTAATATAATTTTAATTTCGCTCATGCGCGTTGTTTGGTTTTGATTTCGGGCACCGTCTGTGATTAAAAGAGCATCATGACGCAATTTACTCCGCCAAAAATTTGCAAATGGCGTGCTGTACTGCTTGGCATTTGCACCGGAAAATCCAATATGAACATTTCACAGTGTTTGTGTGTCTATCTGAAAAGAGTGCAGATAATTCGAAAAGAGTTGGATGAGTCTAATGATGATTACGAAGGCGTTATGCTTCAATTCATCTTCGCACACGGAGGCCTACATTAAGTAATTTGAGAGAGTAGTGCTTCCTTGAATTAAGAAGATGCCTGCTGGAAAATCCTACGTCTGGTAATAGGATTCTGCACCATACCACTCAAGAAGGAGAATATAGTCATAGCTGTCAGAGATTTTCTGCGAACCCATTATTCCTTACATATGGCCTCCCCAGATTGCAACACCAAAGATGAACTGAGGCCAAGAATTATACCAGCATTCATCAAATTATAGAAAGAGACCGTCCAGAAGAGTTTCAGGAGATTCTGGAGTCGTCTGGAGGCCGTGGGTGAAGTCAATGGCGATTTTATAGAATAATTTAACTCTTTAGTATTTCAAGATATTTTTGTGTAATTTTTGGTAAATATATCTGTTAAAATGAGATGTCAATGTTATTTTCATTTTTGTGTCATTTAGACGACAATTTATCCATCGCTCCCTGTATAAGAGGTTAGAGAACAAATAGCTTTTATTTTAGAAATGCATATTATATAAATTAAAAAAATGAGGTCTTATTAATTAATTACAAAGAACATAATTCTTTCCGACGAAAATACTTCGAGGGGGGGGGACACCTGATATAAATTCTACTGACTATAAACACATCACCAACGTTTATTAAAGGCATTCTTCAAGAATCTAATGTATATTTAACTACTGCTACCATTCCCGGTGATGACGTAAAGAACATCCGCAAATCAACATACGAACAATGACTATACATAAATAATTCCTACTACTACACACGCGAATATATATCCACTGGCATAAATAAATATACTAGAATTATTATACACTGACACAGATAAATTATACACTTAAACGAGACTTGACACGTGAAGTCTGCTTAGGCAATGAAAATGAAGCAACATAAAAATACCATAGATTTAATGTATAGCTGTGTGTGTGCGTATATATATAGCTATATATATATATATATATATATATATATATATATAGCAATCCTCTTCAGTGCGACAAGACGTCCGATTGCGCCAAGATTGAAACCCGACTGATTTAATATCAGTCAGATTTCTTATTCCTGGGCTATCGTCGCACGGCAGAGTAAGAAGTAAATTTTAACGTTTTTATTTTTCTATACGAAATACGCCAGCGATGGATGTATGTGTGTGAGTGTATGTGTCTGTGTGTATGTGTCTGTGTGTATGTGTGTATGTGTGTGTGTTTGGTTTGGTTTGTTTTACGGCATATCAACCTCAATGAGTCATTTAATGCCGATAACTTTTTTTTTTCCTGGTAATATTTTTGTTTTTGTCAAAAATCTATTTCTGTTAATATTATTTTTTTTTCCTCAAAAACGTATAGCTGGTAATATTATTTTTTCAAAAACGTACAGCTGACAACATTATTTTTGAAAAAAACGTATTTTCAGAGGCCTTGCTGTTGGACGTAGTTTATCATCTTACCCAGGACGCAGATGTAGTTTATCGTTATTCCTAAGACGCAAATGTGTGCGTGCATAGAAATACATACATACATCATACATACATACATACATACATACATACATATATATATATATATATATATATATATATATAGTTTTATTTTTTTTTAATCTTCTTTACGGTTAAATTGAAATCTTTAGTAAGTTTCTGAATATTCATTTTAAATATTTAAGAATGTTCTTAGCCTACCCCTATTTTATAACAGATTTGTTTTGTTTTTTTAAGTTGAATACATATGTGTCAAAATCTTAACAATGGAAGGATCCAGACAGATTTTCGAATTTACTTTTAAAATCTTTTTTCAAATGTATTCTCAATTGTCTATTCAATGTAACGATTTTTGTCTACAGTCCGGATATCATTTTAGGCCATCACCGGTGTTCATACAATTGAGACCGTTTTCTTTCCCCCGCCTCCTGCGTGCACGATTATAACTTAATATATTTCTTTTCCTTACTCCCTATATAAAATCACAATTCTTAATTTTTAAACCTAAAGCTTTTCTTCCATATTCATTTGTTTATAGGTCTGATGATTTGAAGCCATGTTTATCGGCTTCAATGAAATAACATATCACCTATGGTTTTTTAAATGTCTGTCATTATATAATAATTTTTGCTATGTCTTTTAACACAGAGCTGTCCACGGATGTATATCATCTTGGAAATCCCATACAGATTACCAATAATTATATATATATATATATATATATATATATATATATATATATATATAATGCGAATGTGTGTCTATTTAATAATATAGCGAACTCGTGTAATCATTACTAGTCGCTGACGTTTGAAGAATTTATTGATTACACACGGATTGTAGATTTCAAAACTCCAATTATATCGGCCAACCAATATTTGTCTTTGACTCTGATTGTTATATTCCGTCGAAAGAAATAATTTTCTCAAATGACATCGTAATAAATTGTTTCAGAACTCTGCATACATTAAATTATAGATAATTATTTCTCTCCTCCAAGAGGCCGTTCAAAGAAAAGACCGCCAAAAGTGTCTGAATTGTTTAGTCAGAAAGAGAGAGAGAGAAAGAGAGAGAGAGAGAGAGAGATACAGAACAAGAGATGGAGCGAGAAAGATGGCGGACGGAAGGGAGAGTAGTGACCAATTTAAAAATCACATTTGTTTGTACACGATCGCCTAAGTAAACAATCGAATTTACTACACATATATTTGATTTGGCTTGGCCTTTTCAAGATTTGGCTTCCATAGAATTCCAGATTATTCGATGACGATTATAATCAGGGCTTTTCCAGTTAATTAAGACGACAGGCTGCTGATAGTTATTGTATGACACACGAGTTGCTCTTCTAGAGCTCAATTCTCACGGATACCACGCTATAGTGGCCTTCTGTCAGACTAAGCTACGCCTAGCAAATATCCGAATCCATGTAACGATATACGATTATGCTCATTAAACAAGTTGAAAAAATAAACCTTTAATTGGTCTTGCTAGTATTTGGCTTGGTTTGTTTTATATTACAGCATATGAATCTCAATGGGTTATTTAATGCCGAAAATATTTATTGCTGGTAACATTTTTTTTCATAAGTGCATTGCTGGTAATATACTTTTTCTTCAAAAATCTGTTTCTGGTAATATTTTTTCTTCAAAAATGTATCACTGGTAATATTTTTCCCAAAAAATTATAGCTGGTATTTTTTTTCCCAAATTTACAGTTTGGTTTGTTTTGTTTATGGCATATCAACCTCAATGGGTTATTTGATGCCGACAAGATTTTTATTGCTGGTAATATAATTTTTTTTTAAATATATTGCTGGTAATATTATTTCTCTTTAAAAATGTATTGCTGGTAACTTTTTTTTAATGTATAGCTCGTTTTTTTTTTTTCAAAAATGTATTCTTGGTAATATTTTTTAATGTACAGCTGGTAATTTTTTTCAAAAATTTATTGCCGGTAATATTTTTTTCCGAAATGAATTGCTGGTAATAATGTATTGATGGTAATAATTTTTCTTCAAAAATTTATTGCTGGTAATAATTTTTTACAAAGTATTTCTGGTATTAAAATATGTTTTTACACTTCCATAGTGTTTTGATCCCAGTTTGGGGGTTAACTATTTGCCCATAGCTGGGACCCTAACAGGTGCTACCACCCCGGGTCAGGGTGAACCCGAGAACACCAACAATTAAGATGTGGTTCCACGATCCTCAATACTTTCTGATCAGATGCCTTGCTGCTGGACGTAGTTTATCGTCTTACCCAGGACGCGGATGTAGTTTGTCGTCTTACCCAGGACGCGGATGTAGTTTATCGCCATACCTAGGACAGAACAGTATTTGGATATGACACCTTTATCTATCTCCGATTAGTCACGACCAAAATATTTTGGTTGAGACGGGTGTGGGCTAGAAGTTGGGTTTTATACTTATTGGAAGTTGAACAGAACCTCTTGTCGACCTCTCTGTCCGGGGGTATACGAGACTTTGCCGAAAGCCAGAATCTAATCTGGGGAGGTAGACAAAGCCGACCCCGTGTAAACAGGGTCTACGCGGAACTTTTGCCTGAGACTACGGGCTTGGAATGCCCCACTTTAAAAACCAGGTTTGTGACACGTACCGCCGTGCGAGGAGGCTTTGGGTAAATACCGAAGCTGTGATTTATTCTCCTTCGAGATCATGGCGACCAGAATCCCGCACCGTAATTAATTTTTTTTTAAATATCAATTCACTCCCAGCAACAGGATTATGCCACTATTAATAAAAAGGCAGCTGGTGAGAAGAAAATGCGAAAACTTTAGAACGAACCGAAGAACCAATCGTAAAAGAAAGAGGCTATAAAAATTTACTCCTGTTCAAAAGACTCGCGAGGAGTATGAACCGGGTAATAGACTAGACTATCTACTCCTGTTAACTCCGCAATCGTTCCATCGCTGTATTTTATGTATATCGCCAGGGCTACAGATTGTTGCAAATTCAAAGTTCTGCTAGACTAGCTGCTAGAGGCCACAGTCTTGCCGGCAATTTAACCCCTAGCTAGAGAATGAAGAGATGGCTTCATATATTTCCCAATTGTGCTGTGTAAGTGACTCACAAACGCAATCGAAATTCGAATTTGACACGAAGATTTCTCGTCCCGAGTCGCTAAACATTACATAGACAGCACATCGATTCATAACTCTCCCTGATCAAGCTGCCAAGGAGAAGTCCTAGAAAAAAGAGGAACCGTTTTGCCAGCTCGGATTCAGATCCAGTCTGCGCTAAAAAAAAAACTATTTTACAATATTCCTTTTCTTCATTTGGAAAATCTGTTATCAACCGTTCTGTTTCGACTTTGAACTGCACAAATAACCATTCTTTTAACTGTTTTTTTCTTCTGCGATTTCTTCTGACAACGGGGTCATTTTTCGATCACGCCAGTTTTTCTCCGTCAAGCAGCATCTGAAACTTAAGTAGGTGCTGGTCCAAGTCTACCTTTGCGCTACTTCTTAACCTCACGTTCTTTCTCTTTCTCTTTGTTGCATCTACATCAAATCAATAACTGCATCTACTGCAAGGACATTTGGGTCACCGTGCCGTGCCAAAACCTTTTTCTTGTCCGAATCTGTCCTTCACATTTACATTCGTCCATGCATTGAATACTGCTGCTATATCTAGTCTGGTGCTTCTGATAATCGATTTTGTTGACTAAATTCAAAGAAGGATCTATAATGTAATCGATCCTGATCTGGCATCTCGATTTCAGACACTTTCTCACAGACATGACCTAGCTTCACTCTGTCTTTTCTGCAAATATTTTCATTGCAACTGTTCCGACAAACTTTTTACCCGGTTCCTCGACTACATGAATTTAAGCGTGCTACTAGATTGGCATCTAGGTCCCACCCTTTTACTGTTGAAATAGATAAATGCAACCGCCACTTCTACTCCAACAGTTTCCTTTCCCGTACTTCCCACCTGTGGAACTCCCTTCAGATTTCTTGCTTCCCTGATAACTACAACAATCTTCAAAAATTTAAATTCAACATCACTCGCCATCTTCTGTTTTCTCGAATCCCATTCATCTTTTGGCCTTTCCTCAATCCTCCCTATTCTTAGTCTTCTCTTTCACTTTCACCAAACAATTCGCTCTTTGAAACCTGATAATCATTCGTGAATATTTACAACGGATTCTGCCTTAATTTCTGGGTTGGGGACTTATTTTCATTTAAATGCTTTGCATTCGGACTAATATCCTTATCTTTTTTGTTACTCTTGCCACGTTTTGGCCGTTGGGCTGCTCGGCCTTCTTCAATTTTGGTCGATACGATTAATCGTCAAGGAATTTAGAATAGAACAATTTAGATTGTTCTTGTTGCAACGTCTCACAATGACTTATCCTTTTCTTTCTTTCAGTTAATACGTATCTTATTTCTCCTGGGCCTAAGTCTCCATGGTAGAGAGATTAAACTTATTATGTCAACAACTGCACAAACCAACGTGTTGAGTCCCTAGGCTATTGCCCCGTGTGGATAATCTTTTAAGTAATTTCAAACACTAGTCTATTAAGTAATTTTTAATCTTTTAAGTCATTTCAAACACTAGTCTATTAAGTAATTTTTAATCTTAATTAATTTCTTAAGTAATTTCAAACTCTAGTCTAATAAATTAAAACGTCGTTTAAATATTGGTGATATAATAATTGTAGGTTCAATCCCTGCGCCGGGTAGTACAGATTAGATTTAGTGCAAAATTAAAGCAACGAGAAAACGGGAACAAACTTCCTCAGTTAATTAAATAAAGTGTTCACTTCGAAATTCCTTAAAGGCTACACGGATTGACTGAAGAAGACTGGAGCGAACAACGGTCGAAACGTTGTAATAACAACAAAGATGAGGATAGTGTGCCAAATGTAAATTCTCCAGCCTTGTCGATCTTTTGAACAGAATGACCCGACGATTTGTTTCCTGGTCTAAACATTCGATTCTTGCCTGTCATTAAATAGAAGTTTCTAGTATTAAGAAGGGTAGTAAAGTGTTCAAGATGGCTCCCGATTGTTGGAATGTTGTTCAATATGGAAAGCTTCTAACGTCGGCTTGACTATTTTTCTGATTAAATGCAATTCTGAAGTGGAAAACCAGTGACAACCAAGTACTTAAACAGAATATCGATTCTGACAGACAAGATGCATGGATTTGAGTGTATAGATTCAAGAAAGCAAAGCAAGCCCTATTCCTCCCGAAGAGAGAGACATGTTCTATTGTCTCCCCTTTTTCTTATCCCGTCATGCAATCCCTACATCCATAATTTCCTGTAACTGTACCTCCATCTCCGATGCATCCTTGACAGATTGGATTGCACAAAAGTAACGTTCTATAATGATGGACATGAGGAGTGAGTCAAGCCGGAGGGAAGCTCATTGTATATGGGAGGAGCTCTTCAGTCTTAGAGGCGAGTTTGATAGCGAAAAAGTGCCGAAACGACATTTGATTTCGGTGCTTGTGGGTCGACCCTTTGTGATCTTTTGAATATATGTCAGGATCGGAGTTCTGTGGCGGTGAAAATATTCGACATTTGAAGCAAAGGAAGGTTAATGGGGTGAAAATGAAAAATATCAAAATCAAGATAGAATAATAAAAATAATAATAATAATAATAATGATGATAATAATAATAATAATAATAATAATAATAATAATAATAATAATCGATAATATCATGCATGAATGAACTTGTTGAAGAACTGGGAATTATGGTGAAAAAACAAGAATAAAAGTGCCAAAAATATGGAAAAAGAATAAGCAACAAAGAGAAAGAGAAAGAAATCAGCAAATGAAAAAAGAGAAAGAAAAATGGAGAAGGAGAAAAAAGAAAGAATTAAAGTAAAACGAAAATGAAAATCACAAAGAAAGAAGGATAAAGAAAGAAAAAGGCAAAGAAAAAAGCGAAAGAAAGAAACAAACGAGTAACGTAAGAAAGAAATAAAGAAAGTTAAAGAATGAAAAAAGAAACAGAGAAAACGAGAAAAGAAACAAGAACAAAAACAAGGAGGAGGAGGAGGAGAAGAAGAAGAAGAAGAAAAGAAGAAGAATAACAACAACAACAACAAGAATAACAAGAAGAAGAGGAAGAATAACAACAACAACATCAAGAAGAACAACGACGACAACAACAATAACAAGAAGAAGAAGAAGAAAAAAGAACAAGGATAAGAAGAAGAAGAGGAGGAGGATGAGAAAGCAGAAAGAAAAGAAAGGATTGGGAAAGAAACGGAAAATATCAGAGAAGAAGAAGAAGAAGAAGAAGAAGAAGAAGAAGAAGAAGAAGAAGAAGAAGAAGAAAAACAAGAAAAACAAGAAGAAGCAGCAGATGACGATGAAGAAGAAGAACAAGAACAAGAAGGAGAAGAAGAATCTGATGAAGGGAAGAAGAAGAAACGGAGGAAATATCAGAAGAAAAAGAAGAAGAAGAAGAAGAAGAAGAAGAAGAAGAAGAAAGAAAAAGAAGAGGAGGAGGAAAACAGGAAAAAAAGATTGGATAAGAAACGGAATATATCAGAGATGACGATGAAGAAGAAGAAAAAGAGAAGAAGAAGAAGAAGAAGAAGAAAGATGAAGAAGGAGGAGGAAGAAGAAAAATAATAAGAACAAGAAAAACAAGGAAAAGGAGAAGACGATGACGATGAAGGATAAGAAGAAGAATCCGATGAAGAAAAAGAAGAAGGAGAAGAAGAAGAGATAAAGAAACAACTGTCAAAGATAGACAAAAACAACCTACGCTCAAATAAAAATTGCTTGAAATAAAAAATGAAAGAAAAAAGGAAACATACAGAAACAAAGAAATAAATAGGAAAGAAGAAAAAACAAGGAAACAATCACATAATAAGAAAAAGAAAATCAAAAATAGCATAGAACCGCATCAGTAATTTACGACTTGCGTCTGCTATTCTGTGACCGTTATCATCGCACAGGAATCTTCTATGTAAACATAACAAAAATTTATCTTCGATGGGGAATATCTTTATTTAACTGTCCGCATAACAATCCTAAAGATGGCTCGTGTCGGTCGAAAGGTTAGATCATGGAAGAGTATAATAATAAAAACTATCCAAATGTTGGACAATATATATATATATATATATATATATGTATAAAAACTTAAAAAAATTCGTGTTGAATATTTTAAAACAATAATAATAAAAAAAATACAAAGTAGGTTACCTCCCTTACATTAAACCTCCCTTAACGTAAATTGCCTATAACGAAGTGCGTTTCATTCACATTTACAAAATATATTCAAAACTATCAATTGCATTCATTTTTTTTGTCTTAGGAATTCTCCACTGAAAAAGATCTTAGATGAAATTGAAAAGACTTGGGAAAATGAAAGAAATAAGCAAAACTACGGCGTTTTTTTTTTCATCAGTTTAATAACAACACTAAGAAACTGATCCGTGAATTAGAAAGGATTAAAATAAAAATAGACATAATATGTCTAGATTTATATGAAATCTCTCTCAACCACTTTCCCACACACACACTTTCTCTCTCTCTCTATATATATATATATAATTTTTATTTATTTATTTCGTTATCATGATCATTAATAAAAGTAATATAAAGTAATCCTTGTAACTAAATAAATAAATAAATAAAAATTATATATATATATATATATACTGCATGCCCTACAAAAAATTCTAGATTTACTATATGATGAAAAAAATTGCCTAACTCATAAAAGAAATTAAGTTTTTTTTAGTTTGACCATCACATCTAACATTTCTGTTTTTATTCTGTTTTTCAGTTTCAAATAACCGTAAGAAAAATTCTAACAATTAAAATATATATATATATATATATATATATATATATATATATATATATATATATATATATAGATAGATAGATAGATAGATAGATAGATAGATAGATAGATATGAACAGGGTGAGATAGATAGATAGATAGATAGATAGATAGATAGATAGATAGATAGATAGATAGATATGAACAGGGTGAGATAGATAGATAGATAGATAGATAGATAGATAGATAGATAGATAGATAGATAGATAGATAGATAGATACATTCATATAAACAGGAGGATATGGACAGAATAAACGAGATATGCAAGGTGTTGAAAAGTTATCGGACCAGAAAAAATGTACTTCGCTAGATAGATAGATAGATAGATAGATAGATAGATAGATAGATAGAGAAATAAAATATTGGTAATGACTGCAAATGCAATACTGCCAATACAAAGAATGCCGGAAAAAAATCTAAAGAGGCAAAATAAACTAAAAAACTAAACCAAGTCCAATTAGCAACCCAAAAAAGGACAAGAAAAAGAAAACTTAAAGATAAACGAAAGGTTAGCCGAAAAGAGTAATGTTTACCTACGCAATAATCCAAAGTGCTCAATGTCTGAATGAAATGGCCTAAGACAGAATAGTAGTGCTAACCAACATCCCTCCACAGAGAGATAAAGACCAATTCGCTACACAGAGAGTTGGAATTTGTCCCTTTATGTGGCATCGTTGGATAGATAGATAGATAGATAGATAGATAGATAGATAGATAGATAGATAGATAGATAGATAAGCCCGTATCTACGAACACAAAAGCGATGTACATTTGGACAACCATTCAAATTTTCTCAGAAAACGCAGGAACAAAACAAGTCATATCTTTGATTTTACTAAAGTCACCTTAATTAAAAAAAAAACATAATTCTTTATTAAGAAAATACTTCGAACGCCTACCAACAAGAATACGAATAAACGTCAAAAACATCATATTACATGGCCGACCTTTTTGAATCCATTCTTAAAGAATCTAAGTAATGTTTATCGAAAACAAACGGTATCGACGTAAAAGATGTTCCCAAATCAACATGCGAAAAATCACATATCTATCTTAGACTATCCATATCTACCTGGGTAATCATATCATATCTATCTATCTATCTATCTATCTATCTATCTATCTATCTATCTATCTATCTATCTCAGTGTGCTCATATCTATCTATCTATCTTAGACTATCCATATCTACCTGAGTAATCATATCTATCTATCTATCTATCTTAGACTATTCACTTCTATATATCTTAGACTAGTCATATTTGTCAGAGTATTGGTATCTATCTATCTATCTATCTATCTATCTATCTATCTATCTATCTATCTATCTACTTCAGTTTCTGATGAAGCTTTAATAAAAGTGAAACATATTGGATTGATAAACGTTTCCTATTTATCTTCTCCTTCTGTCAGATTCCGATTATTCATATTTGTTCTGTTTAAGATCCCAACTAATAGATAGATAGATAGATAGGAACAGACTGAGATAGATAGATAGATAGATAGATAGATAGATAGATAGATAGATAGATAGGAACAGACTGAGATAGATAGATAGATAGATAGATAGATAGATAGATAGATAGATAGATATGAATAAACTGAGCGCTCTGGCTGAATGAATGAATGAATGGATGGATTTAAATATAATATTTAATCTGTTTCTTCCCTCTGGTCTTTTAAAACAACGACTAAACAATAACTTTTAAGCGGAAAGATTATTATTTGAAAAATGAAGAAACCGAATCCACCTGTGCACTAAATCACAAGTGCACTGTTACCCGTGAGCCTCTTTCTCACTTAAATGGCGTATCAAGCATCAAGCAGTTGTCTGCTTTTCTCGTTTGGGAGAGGGGGCGTAGTTTGTTATTAGGCCTCAACGCTGTATTTGATTCACACAAATTTTATCATTTCTTGCGTCTTTAAAAAGTTTTTATTCTGTTCTAATTTGTTTCAAGTTTACGCTCTCTCTCTCTATATTTTTTTTTAATCTGAAAGATAATTCAATGCAATTTTTAAGCAGGAAGATCGCTCATAGATCTGTATTCAGGATAGCGTTGAAAATCTCGTTAGCATCTCGTTGACGATCTCGTGAGGACGTGGCAAAGAATTACGTAAGGCTCCAGCATACTTGACAGCGCTGAAGAGGATCAAGAGGAAGGGCTCCGGGGAAGGAAAGATTCTGGTTTCGAAAAGACCGAAAGGCGAAAGAAAGATTTGTGGAAGAAGGAAAGAGAATGAAATGAAAAAAGGAAATGGGGAATGATGGGAATGTAAGATGAAAAGAACAATGAAAGGAAGAACGAAAAAGTAATAAAGATATAAACAACGGTAACAATACAATAAAAAAAACGTAAAATATTTTTTTTAAAATTCTGCAACGACAAATAAAACACAGAATATAATTTTCATCTGATATTATGAGTTATCATTTATTTAGATTATTTACAGTTATCCTCATCTTTGTTGTTCGTATGACAACATTTCGGCTGCTGTGCCCTTCAGTATTCTTCTTCTTCTACTTCTTCTTCTTTCGTCTTCTTCATCCTCTTCCGTTTCTTCTTCTTCTTCTTTCGTCTTCATCCTCTTCCGCTTTTTCTTCTTCTTCTTTCGTCTTCTTCATCCTCTTCCGCTTTTTCTTCTTCTTCTTTCGTCTTCTTCATCCTCTTCCTCTTCCGCTTTTTCTTCTTCTTCTTCTTCTTCGTCTTCTTCATCCTTCATCCTCTTCCTTCTTCTTCTTTTCTTCTTCTTCTTTCGTCTTCTTCGTCCTCTTTCTTCTTCCTTCTTCTTTCGTCTTCATCCTCTTTTTTTCTTCTTCTTCTTTCGTCTTCTTCATTCTTCTTTTTCTTCTTCTTTCGTCTTCTTCATCCTCTTCCTCTTCCGCTTTTTCTTCTTCTTCTTTCGTCTTCTTCTTCTTTTTTCGTCTTCTTCATCCTCTTCCGCTTCTTCTTCTCCTTCTTCTTCGTCTTCTTCTTCTTCTTCTTCTTTCGTCTTCTTCGTCCTCTTCCGCTTCTTCTTCTTCTTCTTCTTTCGTCTTCTTCATCCTCTTCCGCTTCTTCCTTCCTCTTCTTCTTCATCACCAGCTTCTTCTCCTCCTTCTCCTTGTTCTTGTTCTTTTTCTTCTTCTTGTTGTTCTTCTTCCGTTTCTACTTCTTCTCCTTCTTCCTCTGCTTCTTTTTCTGCGTCTTTTCTTCTTTCACTTCTTTTTCTTCTTCTTCTTCTCCTCCCCCTCCTTGTTCATGTTCTTCTTATTCATCTTCTTTTACATTTTTCGTCTTCTTCTTCTTTTTTTACTTCTTTCTTCTTTTTCTTTTTTATTATTATTATTATTTATTATTATTATTTGTCTTTATTAGTAGTAGCAATAGTAGTAGTAGTTATTATCTTCTCTACTTCCAGACGATTTTTTGATTTCGATCTCTCAAGAACGGTTTGGAAAGACAAAAATGGGAAAGTTGCAATTAAGAAAAGATAAATAAAGATAGAAACAGAATTTCTGTTGCTTTACACTCTCCAAATATTCTTGAACATTGTTAAACATTGTATCTTTTGTTTTTCTTTCTATAAATCACCATCTTCTCTTAGGGTTGGAAAATTATTATTATTATTATTATTATTATTATTTGTGTATGTTATGTTTCCTGCTTTGTATCCTGTAGATCCAAGTTCAAACTATGGTCCTTAAACCCTATATGGGAATTGCCATTTAATTTATAGCAGTATATGGGATGTTCCTAGTAAGACGAACTTGCATGTTGATGTTACCCGGGACACTGTTAATAACATTTTCTATTCTTTTTCTCACGAGGCCTAGAGCATCGATTACTATTGTCTCAGTCTTAATTCCCCAAATCCTGTTAATCTTGATCTCCAGGTCCTTGTATTTAGACAATTTTTTCAGTAATTTTCATGGAGGTGTTTCTCTCGGATAGTATTGCTATACACTTCCTGAATTTCTTGTCTTTTAGGATACTATCAAGTCCATTGGCTTTTATTTCCTTGTCAGTTTGAATTGGCATCTCCCAGAGGATAGTTACATTGTTACTATGTGTTTGGTTGGTCCGCATATCATGTCTCAGTGGTTTCGATTTTGTGCTTCTTGCATATCTTCTATTGCCCCTATGTCGCTACATTGTTATGCCTGTGGGTATATTCATTTTTTGCTAGTTCCGGACGGCCCGAGGTAATATAGTTGAGAGTTTTATTATATTTTCAGCAGATCCTGCATTTCGGGTTAGTTTGATTATGTGACAGGTTGCGAGGCTTTGGTCCCGAGCTATAACAATTAGGCCTTATATTTCAACTTTCAACCCAGTGTTCCTCAGCCACTGATGTGTTTTCTCTTGGTCCACATCTGCTTCTCTCGTTCTTTTTAAGTGTTTAAAATGCAATGCCTTGCTCCCCCCCTTTTGTTTTTGTCATGTCATTTGGCCAAGTTGTTTTGATATTTTACTTGTTTGGCGTAGATTTTTTGTTGGTAAGGTTTCAGTTATATTAAGCTGTCTTTTTAATAGTGTAGCTTCTTTCTTGATGGAGTGGATTTGGCGTTTTACTATTTGTAGGAAAAGGTCATTGGTTACTGTGAGTTATGCATCCAATCGAATGGTAGTTTTTTTTTTAGATTTGATACAAGTTGGATTAAACCTTGATCTCCTAAAGCTCTTGTTACGTACAGCCTATCAACATCTGATTTTGGGTAGTGCATCCTCATTTGGGTAAGCATTTTTCTGCTTTTGGCATTCAATCTTTTAATGTCATTCAACTTCTATTTGATAATCTTGAAGCTGAATGTTACTACGTGTATAGCTAAGGTGTAAATAGCCTTCATTTTATTGGCCCCCATTGTGTTCGCTTTCTAGTATCAAACGCATTCTTCTATAATATTCTTTTCGGATCATTTTCTTCGTTATTGATTGGTATATTCCGTCTCCTTCATCAATTCCTAAATATTTGTATGTACCATTTTAGTCTAGTTCTTTAATCTTGTTGTTGGTATCAAAGTCTTAAGGTGTAAAGGTTATTATTATTATTATTATTATTATTATTGGTGGTGGTGGTATTATTTATGAAATATATTGAACAATTTTTTTACATAAATTTGATAACATTAATTCCTAATTATGTGTATGTACCGTCTTGTACTATTTTGGTCTAGTTACTTAATCTTGTTGATATCAATGTCTAAATCCGTAGTTTTCCTCAGTTAACCGCAAATGAAGGTGGCTTTGGCACATTTGTCGATTCCAAAGCCCATCTTAATGTCTTCGCTGAAGATTTTGACAATAGTGAGTAGGTTTTTTTTTCTGCTTGTTGTCATCCTTGGCAAACGTTTTAAGATCATCGATATGGAATAGGTGATTCAGTTTGCTATTCTTCTTCTTATATCCGTAGCTACTGTTGTTCGGTAGGCAGCTGAGTGACGCGAATGCAAAGCAGAAGAGTAGTGGTGACAATGAATTTTCTTGGAAGATCCCGCTTTTGATGTCGATTAGCCTCGAGATTAATAATCCATTTGTATGGTTTAGGTTTCATTTGGTTCTTCATTATGAATTGATCGTTGTGGGCGGGGCATATATTTTTAGGCTCTTATCCATCCCTGAGTGTGGTACACTGTCGAACGCCTTTCTGTAGTCGATCCATGCTACCGATAACTTTCTTTTCCTTGCAATATTGTTTTATTGATAATTAGTTGGTCATTGCATCCATAAATCCCTTTTATATACCTTCTGTTCAGCTGGAAGTAATTTTTGGGGGGTGGGGGGTTCTCAAGGA